TTTTTATTGGTTAACACAAAAGTCAACTCAAAAGTCACCTTAACAATCAGGAAGTAGTACGTAACTACGATGAAGGAGTAGTACGTAACTGTTATTGGTCGATGAAGGAGTACTTGTATTTATATAACGTTATTATTATGATAATTAATACGTAGTAATAATGATAATCATCCCACTTCAACTGTTATCATCGTGATGATAACAATAAATTATGCAACGTGACGGTTTGCCAACGTAACCGTATATACATACCTACTCACGTATATATACGCAAAAGAAGTTATTACATTCTGTTTCATCCATCACAAATCCATCACAAATCCTACAAACTCCCTACAAGCCGAGATGTTTCGTAAAAGTAAAAGCAATGCTCTGCTGCCCCATGACATTGTTTTTGAAATTTTAAAGACACTTCCTGCTAAGGATCTAATGCGGTACAAATGTGTTTCAAAAGGTTAGCTTAATATGATCAGTGATTCTTCATTTCATGAAGCCCACCAAAACAAAGCCATATGTCGTGCAGAAGCAACTCACCCGCTATTTGCTTGTATCGACACTTGTTTGTTGTTGTTATATGATTATCAAAATCCTAATATTGTCTATATAATTTCATCATACAAGATTCAAGTTGATGTCGTGAATACACCATTTCCATCTTCTACACTTTCCTGCCTCACCACAAGGTTTCAAACACCTTCAAACATTTTCAAAGGCCATATAGTGTTATATATTTATGATGCCTTTGATTTTGATCACCAAGAAACGTCTTCTCTTTTCCTAATAAACTTGGCCACATTCAGAAGAAAAGCCCTTCCAGTTATGGAGCAAATCACAACCACTAGCACTTTATCACTTGGGTTTGATAAATCTTCCAAAAACTTCAAACTTCTACACTTTAATAGGAATTCTCTAGATAAGTGTCACATTCTGACCATCGGAAGCCCAGTGTGGAGGAACTTGCTCCATCCTGGTGCTGATTTTGAAGTTGGAAATGCTGATTGTACATGCATTGATGGAAAACTATATTACAAGATAGGAAGTAAAGAGACTCAATTCAAGCAGTGGAATTCTTCGACTTGCATGAAGAAACATTTCAACAACAATCTGTTCCAGCATCATCTCTGCATCAAGAAGGTCCTACAAGATGGTTCGACCATCCTTATTTTTTTCAAGAAATATTAAATTTGAAAGGAAAGGTTGGACTGCTTCGTGGGCTGAAAGTTTGGATTTTGGAGCAGTCCGGTTGGGTTGAAAAGGACATCATACTTCCCCGATGAAGTGGTTAATGGTGAATTCGCCTGTGAGGAATGTAATGGCAAGATTGTCATCAAGTCATCCCAAGCAGCAGAAGGGTCATCAAATTACTACCTTTATGACTTGGAGACGTCTGAGTGTAAAGAGGCTCCATACATTCAAGTGCACGGACGGAACTTTAAGAATTATACATCAGGCTTAGGAATTCCACCAGGTCGTTGTGTCTTTAAACTATTGAACTACATAGAAAACATTGTAGAAGTGTAAAATACTTGTATTAATTAATGGTATTATGAAAGCAAATGTATATTATTGATTGGCTACTCCATGTTACTCGATGAAATTATAATAAATGTATGTTAAAAATATGTGTTATTATGAAAGCAAATGCAAATTATTATGGTTTAGTCCACCATTCGTGTTTGTAAGCAGTTCGACCACATATTAGTCGAACAACATATAAATCGAACATCATAAAACCTTTTGTGTTTGTAAGCAGTTCGACCACATCTTAGTCGAAATGTATATAGATCGATCATAATCGACAACAGGAGTCGTGGTTCGTGGATGAGAGGTCATTTCAAGTTTATTTCTCAACCAACGGTCACTTTGGAAAATCATATCAAGTGAATTTAATTTTGGTTGTGCAATGTAAAAAACTTTTTAGTTATAAATGAATTTATCAAATCAAGTGAATTTAATTTTTGTTGGTTAATCGAATGTCATTTGGTTTGTGCAAATGTAAAAAAACGTTTTCGTTATAAATGAATTTAAATTTTATTGGTTACAAACATATGATATGGTCGAACTACATTTGCTCTTACAAATATTACTCAATAAATTCTTTATTTCCTTAGCTGATATTTTCAATCAAATGAAGCAAAAAACATTTGATCCATTACAAATTCCATATTAGTAGTCGAACATAAAAAATTGTGAACATTTTTTAGGTATAAATGAATTTAATTTTTATTGGTTACAAATACACTTAGGTGAATACAACTATAATCACAATTGTAATTACAGATCATTATTATTGTATTATTATTTCTTAATAAAATTCAGAATAAACAATATTTAGATTTATTGTCTAAAAAAATTCACCAATAATCATTAATTCTGGTGGATGAGGTGAACTTTGAATTTACCAATAAATTTAATTTTTATTGGTTACAAATATGATCGAGGTGACCTTTGAATTTACCAATAAATTTACTTTAGGAGAATATAGCTATAATCATAATTGTAATTATACTCCTGTTGTTGAGGTGACCTTTGAATTTACCAATAAATTTACCAATAAATATTAAGTTCAATTACTCCGTAATATACTACCTTTGAGTATATAACAGCTACATTTGCATAAAGAAAAGCTTTCAAATTTAAGTACAATTAAATATAATCGATCAACGGACATGGTCGAACTACATTTGCTATCACAAACACGAATGGTAGAATCATCCATTATACGTTTGGTATAATGAAGCAGATATGAAGAAATTAGTAGTCCTTTTGACTACTATATTAGTAGTCGAAAGTCAAATTTACATACAATAAAATATGATCTATCGGCTAACATTACAGAAATTATACACATTAAAATGTCATAATTACAAATCATAATTAAAAATGTCCATTACAAATCATAATTAAAATGTTCAATAAAGAGAGCAAATCTTTGTAACTCGACCAAAACATTCTAGAAAGGAACATAACCTGTTGAACATTCTATTGTTCAAACCCAAAAACCTCATGTTGAACAGAACTTCTTCTTCTTCTTCTTCTTCTTCTTCTTCTTCTTCTCCTTCTCCTTCTCCTTCTCCTTCTCCTTCTCCTTCTCCTTCTCCTTCTCCTTCTCCTTCTCCTTCTCCTCCTCCTCCTCCTCCTCCTCCTCCTCCCTCCTCCTCCTCCTCCTCCTCCTCCTCCTCCTCCCCCTCCTCCTCCTCCTCCTCCTGCTTCTCCTCCTCCTCCTCCTGCTCCTTCTTCTTCTTCTTCTTCTTCTTCTTCTTCTTCCTCCTCCTCTTCTTCTTCTTCTTATTCTTCTTCTTCTTCCTCCTCCTCCTCCTCCTAGATGAAAAATAGCAAAGTAAGTATTCATGATCTTACAAGTGTGTTAACATCGATACATAAGAAATACGTGGTCGACCATATTCGATAATATATATGTTAAGTGCGTAATATTTTGGTAACAAATACGTGATCGACCATATTTTGGTCGATCACTTATAGTTTAGTTTAAGCAAATATTTTTTATTAAAATATACTCCGTACCTTTTTTTCTTCTTTTCGTCTTCTTCTTCTTCTTCTTCTTCTTCTTCTTTTTCCTAGATGTAGTAATATGTATGTTGTGCCTTTCCTCTGACCATTCCTCCAATTCCCGAAACTTTTGGTCATAATGCAGTTTGAAAGAATCGAGCCTTTTTTCTGAAAGAGCCTTAAGTTCTTCAAACTTTTGGTCAATATACATTTTAAAAGAATCTTCATTGGCAGGAGGCAGTAGGGGTGTGGAGAGAGTGTTTCTTCTTCTTCTTTCTTTGTTCCTCTACATTGGCAAGCTGAGGAGAGGCAATAGGGGTTTGAGGAGAGTGTCTCTTCTTCTTTCTTTGTTCCTCCACCACACCTTCTTCCTTCTTCTTCTTCATCCTTGACAACTTCATCTTTTTAGGAGGCTGCTTCTCCTCAAGACTCTTGACCTCACATGATTTTCTTTTCAAAGAGATCGAGACTAGAAAAAGAACTAATTTCTTCTCTAATGATTTCACAAATCTATCAAGGTCATCATGTGGGTGACTCTCTTTGTACAAGCTCCAAACTTATGACCCAATCAGCAGTTTCCTCAAACCTATCGGGTAGTAGAATACTCTGCACCCTCTGTAACAAACATTTAGTTCTTCACCTTTAGTTGTATAAAAAACAGAAAAAACATATTCTCATCCTAGTCCACTGAATAAGTCGTTTGATCATATATATTCATTCGACCACAATCTGGTCGACAATGGTCGATAACATTTGTCCATTCGACCAAAATCTGGTCGACTAATGGTCGATGACATTTATTAGTTCGAGCACAATAAGTATGAAATTGTTCTTACTTTTATTGATTCTTCAGCTTCTTGAACCTGTTCATTACTGATCTTTTTTTTTATCTTTAAACCCCATAGACTTAACCTCGGCAGAGGAATCGCATTTTGAAGGATTCTAGCAGTAAACTTTTCAGCAAATTCAGGGGCGCATTCAAAAAGCAATATCTATTAAAACAAAATTTTAAAAAGTTAAGAAATGCTAGACAAATTGTTATTACAATATACAAAATTATAATTGAATTATATTAAGAGAGGTCCTTACCGAAATTGGGATTAAAAATCCCGGGTAATTCATTGTTGCAGACTTGCCTTTATGACATATTTCATTTAGCTTTTTCACCAAGTCTATTTTCTTCAATGCATCTAATGATCCCATGTACGCCCACGTACCCCATGGGAACTCGTTTTCTTTTCATGCCCCTATTATCCCAATTATCCAATCAGGAATGGGAGCTTTTCTCTTAGAAGGAGCTAGAAGGACCAAAACTACAAACATAAGTATTGATACTCTGATCACTTCTACTTCACCATCCTTTTTCAGTTCTTCCTCAGCTTCAGAGTTCGTCAAAGTGCTGCATAGTTGTAGAAATCTAGCTACAACTGTTTCATAGCTAACAACTCCTTCAAAATCTTGACCAAAATGCTTCTCAATGAAACTGGTCTTGGAATCATGATCAAAATCATTTGCATAATTTTTCTCAAGGGGGCTGCAGGTAAGCCCGCTAATTAGAGCAAATTCTGTGATAGAGTAGCGTACTGGAACTCCCTTCACGACAAACCATGCTTCGGAGTCCCTATCAATTTTCGCTAATCTCGACAGGAGTGGCCACAAAAGTGATGGAACAGGGATGAAAGAAACATCAATGTATCTCCCAAATACACTGCCTCTAAATCTACTCATGAGAGTGGGAAATCTACCAAGGTTATCAAACATTAATCCTTGAAATTCATCCAAATTTTGCCTCACCGTGAGCTTCATATTTGGGAACAGCGAGCAGTCCACCACAGGAGGCAAGTAAGGGACCTGCATATATAAAAAAAATTAGCATCTGTTCGACTAACAAATGGTCGAACCAATGGTTCACAACTCAGTTTCACTTGAGATTAGTCGAACAATGTATGTTTAGTTCGACCAAATGTTTTTACAGAAATTCACTCCGGATTAACCACCAATGATTATTGTATAAAAGGTAGGTATATTTTGTTAGAAACACTAATGAGAAGCATGTCATGCGTGTTCAAAATAATGAAACATGATTTAGCTCGACTGAGTTGAGTTCGGTTTCAAATGCACATTTGGAGCTTTCATTTGAGAAGTTACCACTATAGCTTTCTAAAGAATCAAGTATCGCTCTCAAGCATAAATAATTTAACATTTACTTGAATATCGGGTTCATCTGCGGCTTCCATCACTTCCGATGCTTTCACAAGTCTCCGTCTTGCTTGGTTTTTCACTAGAGGAATCGTAGGAGTTTTGCACTTCATGGTTCTTGAAGGAGATGGAAGAATGGTCGAAGTCGAAGTAGAAATCGAAGAATACTTGTGCGAAATCGAAAAATGCTTGTGCCCTAAACACGGTGCTCTGTTGAAATCGATTTCGACTGGTAGTGGATGAAGTGATGCGGGAAGTTGGGGTTTTGGAAGTTGGATTGTGCAGGTGTGGGACCAGAAGCCGTTTTTCAAAATCGCTAGACAGTCATTTTTAAGTTCTGACTGTCTGTTCCTAATAATGTACTCCCTCTGTTCCTAAAAATTCTTCCCGGTTTGACTTGACATGCTTATTAAGAAAGTGAATAAAGCGGAAATGTATAGTTGTGGTTGTGTAAGAAAAAAGTAAAATGAATGTGAGCCACACAAATTGTCCGAAATGAGAAAGTGGGAAGTATTTTTGGAAACAACCCAAAAAGGAAAGTGAGAAGTATTTTTGGGAACGGAGGGAGTAATAGAATATAGGGCGGTTTTACTTGACCTTTTTTGGCCCTTTTTGATAAAAATTCCTAAAATTTACTACATTTTCTCTCAAAAGACCTTTGTGAATTGTGTGAAGACCTTTCTGAATTCACTCTGAAAATTGGCTCACCCAAACTATCTGTTGAGCAGTCTGCAGAGCTGGACAAAACCTCAATATCGAACTCACAATATCTCCCAACGATGCAATCCTTTCTTCTATTTGTTCTTCGTCTCTCGATAACTCTGAGTAAATAAATGTTTCTTCAATCGCAGAATGCACTTGTTTCTCTTACTGCATTAATTCAGCTCCGTAATTGGATATAGTAAATTTTATGCTTTTAATAAGAATCTTGACCAGTTCTTTCAGGTTTTCATAAAATTGGATATGCCGTAGAAGGCGGGTTTTGTTCTGCACCACCAATCTTGAGTTTTGATTCCGGCTCTAGACCCCTGTATTGGAAAGTCACTAACCCCACACTCTCTCCTTCTCGCCTCCAAGGTCAGCCCCCCCCCCCCCCCCCCCCCCCCCCCCGCTTGAATATAAAATTAGGATTTTCTCAGGAAAAATTTACTCCGTATAAGGCTCAGCTGTTTTTTGCATGGATTTTTATGCAGTTCACCATTGCTAACCTCTATAAAATGCTGTCCACACATGTCAACATTGTCCAATAAAAAAGTTAATAGGGAGGTATAATTGCATCTCAGAATAAATAAAACAGTGAGACGTTTCTAAAACAATTTTTAGATAAAGAGCTACAACTTATTGTCGTTATATAAGGATATACGAGAATATCATCTTAGCAGAGGAGTGAGAATCTCACTCCTCTGGAGAGTTGGATTTGGATATCGTGCATCTCTGTAAAACAGAAATCTGCAATAAAAATTTGGAAAATGTGCATTTCAACTGTGCAAAATTTTAAACGTAAATGCGCACACTTGAATTTTGCATTACTTTAACTATAAATGTGCATTTTCGTGAATGGCAAAGTGAATCGTTTTGGAACGTTCTTATTTCTCACATTAAAGAGTGTTCTCACCGGAACCGCACCCTATATTTATAAAGGAATGATCCTGTCCACCCGGATGGACAGGACCCTTCATTAGGCCGCCTCCGTTCGGGTGTAGGTTATGCACAAAAAAATTCAACTTAAAATTCTATTGGGAAGTCAGTTAAATAAATTATTGAAAGATACTGCGCCGAACTATATATATATATAAAGCGCGGTGTTTTTCAATAATGTATTTAACTGCTTTCTCGAATGAATTTTTAGCTGAAATTTGGTGAACATAATCTACACTTCATGAAAAACATGCTCAAGAAATTTTATCAAAAAGTTCCACCAAGAAATGCCCCAAGCGGTGGCAGCCGTGCGGAGCATCCTGTCTGGAACGATGGACAAGATCATTTTCCTATATATATATGTGAATATTCACACATATATATACATATATATATATAGAGAGAGAGAAAGAGAGAGAGAAAGAGTAATGTTCCTGTTAGTCCAGACTGACCGGAATCGCCATTCACCTAACTCCATTCGAGGGGCTTTCTGGTTGATTTTTTTTGATAAGTTTTTGTGAGCATGTTTTTCATTAGGTGTAGATTATCTCTACAAAAGTTCAACTTAAAATTCAATCGGGAAGTCAGTTAAATAAATTATTGAAACTTACTACTCGGCCCGTGTTAATTTTCCTGAGTTACTCATCGAGTGATTTCAAAAATATGCACAAATATATGCATAAAAAACGTAGTGATTTCAACAATTTATTCAATCAACTTCCTAACTGAAATTTTGTGTGAATGTTCTACACTTCATGAAGAATATGTTCACAAAATTTCATCAAAAAATGCAACTTTGAAGGTCCTCAAACAGGCTTGGTTGGACGGCGATTCCCGTAACTCCGGACTCACCCAAACATTTCTCTCTCTCTCTATAAAGGATTAAGGGGCTGTTTGGATCTAATTCTTAAAACTGATTCTGCTCCTTCAGAGAGCAGGAGCATAAGTTGGAGTGTTTGGTTTAAAGTGCATAAGTCTTTCTAGTGCTCTAATTTAATACTAGAATCAGTTTTTTTAGAAGCTGGGGGAGACCATCTTCTTAAAACTGATTCTGATTCTACTTCTACTTTAAAAAAGAAGCAGAAGCAGAATTAGTTCCAAACACCTTCTAAATACAAACACCTCTTAATTTACAAACTACAAACTTATATCATCCGATGAGTTGATCTATAGGCTATATGTGAACGGTGAGATTTTGGTAATAAAATTAACCTTTTTTAGGATGCAGCACTTTGAATGTTAATAGGCAAATGCTTATTTCGTTGCAGAATAATATATACAACACTGTGAACATTATTATGAAATACAAACAGGGTAAAGATGCATCGTACAAATATTTGCACAATAAGCATTGTTTGTACCTGATCTGCCCCCTTATATATATGACCCGGTTCAAATAAAAAGTGGTCTTCCCATACCAAGTGCGGACGTCTCTACTTTTGATTGTCAAAGTGCACTATTGCATTCAAATGATTTACGTCATCCCAGGAAGACACTTTTTACAAAGAAAAAAAATTTGGATTTATTTACAAAAATGCCACCGCGTTTTAATCCACTTTAATGCATTTTGAAATGTTTAGTCATTAGATCTTAGATCCGATGCACCAATTTGCTCTTATTTTTTTTTTGGTGAACTGTAAATATATATATAGTAACCAAAAGTTATGTACATCATTACAAAATTAGAGGCATATCCAAGTATGGATATCCTATACATCAATTGCTATACTAGCAAAACTCTAGATCAGAGATCTAGCCAAAAATGTAGCAAAACAGCCAGCCATCAAGCCGTGACAAAAAACCTTCAAAAATTAATCATATGGAATGGATAGAGAGAATAGAGAACTTTGTACACCATATACTTGATATGTGTAAACATCTCATCCAACTTCAATGCCGCACCATCAAAACGAATTGCATTTCGAGTTCGCCATATCCAATATATGGTGTAGCTAAACGCTATTCTTGTTGCTTTGGCTCTAATGTGCGCTCCTTTGCACTCCCTTTGGGTCCACTTCACCACACTCTTCAAAGATGCCATTTGTCTTGAAATACCAAGCCAACCTTTGACATTATTCCAAAGCTGCCCTGTACATGTACAATCAAAATATAGGTGTGGTACCGTCTCCGGTTCACCCTTACAGAATGGACAAACATTAGCAACATCAAGATATATCATGTTATCATACGTTGGCAGCCTATTCCGAAATGCTAACCACATTATGAATGAGAATTTTGGAGGGATGTAAGCCTTCCAAATGAAAGACATCCACGCATGTGGAGTGGCTTTAAGTCTAAGAAGCTCATAAACCTTGGAAGAAGATAATTTACCATTAAAAGTCATCTTTTCAAGGTATGTGGTGGTCTCGGCTATAGAAGAGAATTTTGAGACCATCAAATCACGTATCAATGCCAATCTCTTCATTAATTGTGAATCCCTATTTTGTGGAACAAAGGTCCACACACAACCCCCATTTAGGTATACCCCATGTACCCACCTTACCCAAAGAGAGTCTTGTTTTGAGTGGATATTCCATAGAGGGTGGGATAGTAATGCGTTATTCCAAATCTTTGTGTCCCTAATACCTAGACCTCCTTCCTTTTTAGGTAAACATACATCTTCCCATGCCACTTTTGCATGCTTTCCCCCCCAAAGAAATATACGACAAAGGCTTGTAATTCTATCCAAAATGGTTTTAGGAACCGGAAAAATTCCAAGCCAAAAAGATTGTACCCCTTGTATGACAGACTTTATTAACTCAACTTTCCCCGCATATGATAAGGACTTAGTATTCCATGCATTTAGATAATCTGTAACCGTATCAATCAAAGGAGAGAATTGGGCTACAGATATCTTAAGAGGGGCCAATGGAATACCTAGGTACCTTACCGGAAAGGATCCTTGTTGAAAGTCCACCAATTGTAGAATGGCAGGTAGCCTATTTGCTATGTTTCCTCCTACAAAGATATTGGATTTGTCATGGTTGACCATAAGGCCGGAAACCCTCCCATAATCATGCAATGAATCCACCAATATCTTTATAGATTTAAGTTCCCCTTTTGAGAAAAGCATTAGGTCATCAGCATATGCCAAATGTGAAATCTTTAGTTTGGAGCATAAAGGATGATATCTAAAATCAGGATCCGAGGTCCTAACAGTTAACATCCTAGAGAGATACTCCAAACATAAAACGAAAAGCATTGGAGACATTGGATCCCCTTGTCTTAAACCCCTTTTCCCCTCAAACCACCCATGTAGAGACCCATTTATGGATATGGAAAATGAAGAGGTAGTAACACATTCCATAATCCAGTTAACAAATATATTTGGCAACCCAATACTTCTTAAAACATTTTCAAGGAATTCCCAAGAGACCGTGTCATATGCTTTCCTAAGATCAATCTTAATCATGCATCTAGGAGTGACCCTCTTTCTAGTGTATCCCCTCACCAGCTCTTGTGCAAGGAAAATATTATCAGTCATGAGCCTACCATTGACAAAAGCACCCTGTGATGGATCAATTACACTTGGAAGACAAGGTTCAAGCCTAGATGCAAGGATTTTGGTGATAATCTTATAGGACACATTAGTACAGGAGATGGGTCTAAAATCAGAAACCGAGGGACAATGAGTAGTTTTGGGGATAAGAGCTACAACAGTATGGTTAACTTGTTTGAGCATTGTCCTCGACTCAAAAAATTCCCTAACGGCAGCACATACATCCTCACCAACTATTCCCCAATTTGTTTTGAAAAAAGCTGATGAGTAACCATCAGGTCCAGGTGCCTTGTCATTTCCTATATCAAACAAAGCTTCTTTGATTTCCAAATCAGAAATAGGTCTAATAAGGTCATCAAAAAGGCTTTGATCTATTATCTTCCCTGAAGTGATAATGTTAGGATCAAAGTCATACGATGGTTGTGATGTGCCAAACAAATCTTTAAAAAACCTTACAAACTCATTTGCAACTTGGTTCATGGAATGGGTAAGGGACCCATCTTGTAACCGAATAGAGGCAATAGAGTTTTTTGCTTGTTTCTTTTTTACAATAGAGTGAAAATACTTAGTACATCTATCAGATTGAAAAAGATGGACAGCCTTAGCTTTTTGTTTTAAATAAGCTTCCTCGGCTTCCTTAAGAAACAAGGCCCTCTTCTTTGCAACATTCATGTCCTCTTTGAGAGCATCATCATTTGGAGTTAGAAGAAACAATTGATAGATTCTTTGGTACTCCTTTTTAGATTCCTTTGCTCTAGCCGAAATATGACTAAACTCATTTGAATTTAGTTGTTTAAGGGGCTGTTTAAGGAGCTTAAGCTTACGGGCCAGTCTAAATTGTGCCATTCCCCCAACATTTTTCATCCAAACCTCCTTTAGTATACCAATAAAGTTGTCATGTTTCAACCACATGTTAAAGAACTTAAAAGGTTTTGACCCGCTCTTTATTGTATTTCCAATTTTAAGCATGGCAGCCACATGATCAAAGTCACATTCCATTTCAAAAAAATGGGCATTACATGCTACACCTTGGGCACTCCACAAAGGATTAATGAGAATTCTATCCAACTTAGCCCAAATGACACCTCTATTCCAAGTGTAAAATTCACCTGTAGAAGGTGCATCATCTAGATAAGTTTGCATTTTCATCTCATTTATATCCTTCATCAAATAACCCGTAGGTGGGGCAGAACCCCTTCTTTCATTTGGTGCACCCACACAATTAAAGTCACCCAAAACAGCCCATGGTCCAAGGGTATTTGCATTTAGCCTTATCAAATGATTCCATAATACCCTCCTTTCTAGTACCGTGTATAGAGCATAAACAAAAGATGCATAAAAACACATTTGTGTTGTTTTACATTTAAATCTAGCATGCACATGTTGAACATCAACTTCTATGATATCATCATCCACAAAACAAGGGTCCCATATAAGAGCTATACGGCCACCCCCAATCTTATCAAAATTTGTCACATATTTCCAATTAGGCAATCTAAAAAGCATAAAATTAGCAAAACTAGTAATAGACATTTTGGTTTCAAGAAGACAAAATATGCGTACCTTATTTATCCTTATGAAATTGAGTATAGTATTTTGTTTTGAGGCTTGATTCAGCCCCCTAACATTCCAAGTTGTAATAATCATAAAAACAAACATATTAGGCCTTACCTCCCTTACCCCTTCTATACGGCCTATTCCTCTCTCTTTGGGTTTGCTTCCATTCCCGGTACTCTTGGCATCCTCTATACCTAGCAAGAAAAAGGTCATAGACATGTATTATAAAAGTAGAAGAGAATTCATACCCTTCCTCCGTAGGGAACACTCCGGGAAGAGATCTAAGGCAAGAAGTGGTGAAGGTAAGTCCTTTGCGTGCCAAGCTCTCCTCTACATCCAAATAGTTGTCCAATCTTGTTATTCCTTCCTTCACATCATCACCATGCATCAAGTGTATCTTCGGTTTCTCTCCTTCTTGAAAATCAATCTTTGTTATGACATCATCGAGGTAGGCCTCCTTGATGTCTTGTACAATCCGGACTGTTTTCCTTTTGAATTTTCTCAAATCCATGACTTTGCTTCCATTGCCCATGAGATGTCCATCCTCAAAATAGCCATAAAGGAAATGTCTATATACACTTGACATGAAAAGTTGTGTAAAAACATACTCTTTTTTCTTCTTTCTCACCCCCGGGATTGATTCCAAACATTGTTTGGTAAAGTATATCCCCGGTTCCTTTGCATCCACCATTTGGAGAAGATGGTTTAGCCTTATAGTGGGCTCGGTTACATCATCAATGTGGGCTACCTTTAGGATAGGCATACGTGCCTCATCCACTTCTATCTCAATAACAACTTCATCATCATAGAAGTCCTTGAAGCCTTGAATCTTCCTTGGTTGCTCATCCTCTTCATCATGCTCTTGAACCGTTTCATACCCGGATGATAACTCCCCATCCTCCCTTGGTTGTTTTTTCTTCTTTGGCTTCCTCTTTTTCTTTTTCAACCTCGCTGCCTTTATAAAGGGATGCTCTTCTTGTTGGGTAGGAGTGTCTAATGCCGCGGCATAAGGTGCTGCCTTAGATGTTCCCACCCCCAATGTCGCGGCCTTGTGGTTTGAAGTGCCCACATGTGATGCCGCGGCCTCAACTCCCTTGCAAATGCCTTTGCCCTTGTCCCCCTTTGCTTGTTCCTCGTTGCCTTGCTCTTGTGTTTTCTTTTCTTCTCTTTCCTTCTTCTCCCTCTCGGCTATTATTTTGCAAGTGAAGGCATGGTGGCCGTATGCCTTACAATTGAAACAATAGTTTGGATATGTTTCATATATGATTTTTTGAAAATGAAACCTACCACTTGGCAGCCTCACTTTAAGCATGAGGGGTGGCGGCTTTGATGCATCTACCTCAATTAAGACCCTTGCATATCTTGAGATGGTTCTTTCTTGTGTGACCCTATCCGTAGTTAAGGGCACCCCTACCCTCGAGGCAATCTCGCTTATAACATCCTCGTTCCATATTTGCAAAGGAAAGTTTGGGAACTTCACCCAAATAGGAACTTTTAAAAATTCTTCACTTTCAAAGGAGAAGTCCTCCGATAGTGTTTTGAGGTATAAAGACTTCCCAAACAGCGTGTATGGACCCTCCATAAGAACCTTGGACCTGTCTTCTTCATTTTGGAACTTGAAAATCACCCATCCTTTGTCATGGGTTCTCACCTTGCAAGGAGCACTCCATTTTGAGACTAGTTCTTGTATAGGCTTAAACCCGGGATATCTTCCCGCAAAGTAGCCCACAAGGCAATGCCCCCAAATTTCAACCATAGATGGCATAACTCTCTTATGCAGGTCAACAAAATCCCCAACCGGTTCAATAAACCTTAGCTTCATTCCTTTTGTAGGCTCCCTATTATCCTTGAATAGAGATGCAAAAGGTTTAGGCATTGGGGTCTCGGTTTGTGTCAAGGGGATAGTTTTCCCAAGGGCAGCAACATACAAGTCATTTACATCCCCTTTTCCTTGAGTTTGGTGTTCAATTAGAGGAGCATTATCATCAAGCACAATATCTTTAGTTCCCACAACAACCGTACCCTCTTCTTGACCCAAAACATTGTCAACGGTCACATTTTCAACAATAGCGTTTATCACATCATTTCCCTGTTTTAGAGGGGGCATAGAAGTAACCTGAGGTTCAGGAGGTTGAGGGGCAAATTCAGGCTGAGTTGGTCTAGAATCCCCCTCGGATTCACTAGCAAAGTCCAAGCTCAATTCGGAGTCACTTACTTGGTCCATGGCCGAGAGTGCATCTTCAATTTCCTTGTTTTTTGCCTTTTCTTTGAGCCTTGAGGACGACTTTGTAGGAGCTTGGGGCTCCTTCTTTTTAGCCGTGGACTTGGGCATGGTTATTTGAAAGATTACCAAGAAACAATCTTCAAACCATGGAAGGGGTAGCTAAAAATAGCAACCCCTCCTAAACCGAGAAGCTTTGAGTGTGTTTGATAGTTTGAGCTAAGAAAGCCGTACCAATGGAGTCGTTTGTGAACAGTAGCTTGTTGTACGGCCTTTCTTGATGATGAAACAAACTTGAAAAGGTTGATCTCCTCACCAAGGCGAACCCCAATCCAAGCTCAAAATCGAAATTGGCCTAGTAGATGATGAGAAACGTGCGTTGACCTTTTTTGTGAATAGTGAAATTGCGAACTGATTTGGGGAAGAAGGAGCGGGGATATCCCAAATATTACTCAACCAAGAGATGGAGGAAGTAATATGGAGGATATACGAGCTCAAGGGTGGTGTTTGGTGGTGGTTTGCGGTGGAGTTTGGCGGTGGTTGGTAGTTTCCGGCGTGAGTGAGCCGAAGATGACCGTTAGGCCAAATCGGGAGAGTGAGCTCTCAACCCTCACTAGAACCAGGTGCTAAGGGGCGCTGGTTTCAAAATCTCAGGCGCTGGTTTCAAAATGCACCAATTTGCTCTTACTTTTCAGGACTAGGAGACATTTTTTATTTGATCCAGAATCTATATGTATATATATTATATACATTTGTACACAGACTTGCCAGGTTTTACAAGGAGTGTGTATAAAAGAGATCATGCTTTAGTTGCTCCTGAAAGCCATGTGTTCAGCCCTTTATCAGATTGGTATGCCCATCCAAGCAGTTCGAGCATTCTATTGATTCCTTACAATATTCCGCTTCATTTGTTACCTGAACAGCTGTAATATTACCACTGCAGGACAAACACCCTCGCAGCATATTTAGTCACACCTGAAATGGGATCCCATTTTGTTATGTACTTGGCAAATATGCAAGGTTTGAGTTTTTTTTACTAGAAATGGTTTGTTTGAATTTTCACTAGTAATTGTTTTGTATTTCAACTTGAGAAACAACTTTAACTTGCTTTGATGCAAGTGTTCTGCAACCCGCCTTCTTCCCTATTTTTTTTGTTTCCAGAAAATTCAACATCTGGGCTTCCTCCTATGGGCGTTGAAAGGTGTGAAACTTTTATAATGTTATTTCACAGCATGCTTCTTAGTCAAAAAACTTCCAACTATGTTCTTTACTCTCACACAACTACTATTGTCAATCAGGTTCATATTTGTGGTCAAGGGCAATGTAGTTTTGACTATTGTGCCTGGAAGAAGACACTTGCTGAAGGTATCTTTTTTTTTTCAGATATAGATACATTACTTTTCTAGGTTTTTGATAAGCAGTTACGATAATTAATTTTTCCTAAAGAGTACTACGCTTTGGATTCTTACTCTTATGGAAAACATAGTTCTTTGTAGTATTTGAAGGCAAACATTCTTGGTCTATGATTTGTCATCTAACTTATGATGATGGCTTTAGAATATTAGACTCATTATACCTCTGTCGGAATATTGATGCAAATAAGCATTCAAGTCTAGTTTTGCCACTTCGTAGTCTTGCTTGATTTTATATTGTTAATTGAGTGACATGGTGAGTTTCATGCCACCAACTCTGCTGGATCGAGTGTCCTACCGAGGTGTACTATTGAATACCTTAAGCTACAATTATGAATCACTTTATATATATATATATATATATATATATATATATATATATATATATATATATATATATATATATATAGGGGTGGGATCACATACAAACCATGCTTAACTTACTAACCTACAAACTCAATAATATGCAACACTTTGAACTTCAATATGCAATACAAATAATGTAAAGATGCACTCTTTGAATTTCAATATGCAATACAAATAATGTAAATATGAAACTGCTATTTTATGGCTTCAATAATATGAAACATTTTGAACTTCAATGTGCAATACAAATAATGTAAAGATGATTTGAATGAGAGGACTAGTTTGTATGTGATCCCACCCCTGCATCTTTACATTATTTTTACTGCATATTGAAGTTCAAAGTGATGCATATTATTGAGTTTGTAGGTTAGTATTTTAAGCATGGTTTGTATTTGATCTCTTATCTATCTATATATATATATGTAAATGTATGTACACACACATATATATTAAGCATGCTATGTCATTAAAAATATATAATCATAAGTCATTGATCCGGTTACAAAATAATATATTTTTGCTTCATTTAATAATATCTACCTCTAGCATAAATAGTTAGGCAGCACATTCAGCGGCTGCACATGGGTAGCACACTTGAGCTCGATACGCCACCAACCACATAACCACAGCTAGTTGGGTTAAGGTGTTGGTGCAATGGTTTGGTGGTAATGATGATTGGTTTCTATGGAGCTTCTAATGCCTTTTGAACTATAAAATGAAGGTGGACTCTTATGCATATTTGCCTCCTGGTCTGGAACACACTGTCAAGTCGGATGTATCCGTTACCCTTGTTGTACTGGAGAGAAGGTTTTTGCACTTCCTACATCCACATCACAAATGGTCATTGAGTATTACTCCCTCCGTCCCTTAAAACTTGACCGAGTTTGACCGGCACGAGAATTAATAAAGTAAAAACTGTGTAGTTGATATTTGTGCAGAGGAGAGAATTAATTGAAACCACAAATTCTTTATTTGAAAGGGAAAATGGCAAAGTTAGTGGAACAAGCAAAAAAGAAAAGTTGACAAAGTTTTAAGGGATAGATGAAGTATTTCTTACATTTGTTTCCACTTCTTTTATAATGCTACATGCACTTCTTATAATGCATGTTCCATTAGTTCTTTTGTGTAAAATGCATTTCTACCCCGTTTTACTGCTTGTTCAAGTCATGCTCTTCTTTTAGATATGCCAAGATAGAAAACTATGCAAGCAGAGAGATTATTGGTTCAACAGACCAGCAACCCCTACTTGAAACCCCCGGCGAGGTAAACTTGTTCTTCTACACTGTTGCTCTCTAAAAATAATCTTTTTAGCTGGCATATATTTGTATTAGATACTTAGATTGTAAATGACATGTAAAATCTTTACCCAAGGCTCTGTTGTTTACATGGGCAAATGTTTTCAGATTTTCTTGCAGTTGGTAGTGGAGTATATTTACCTAACTGCATAGATTTTGGTGGGAAATGACTTCTCGTCTTGACCTGAAATGGTTACTTTGTGGTTTCTATTATTGCCGTAGAAGCAAATGGAACCCAAAACTTTGTGTGATGGGCTCACTGTGAGTTGGGTTAAAATGCACTCTAATATTTAAAAGTTGAAAGTCGAAATTAACACTTTTCAAAAAAGGTATTTTTGAGGCATTAGTTTTAAGTAATAATATTCTTTGGGCCCTGTCTCGACCCCCAACAACCCTGTAAGTCTTTCACTCCATATTCACGTGATATATTATTAAAACTAATTGAAGCAGGGATTCAAGTAATCAAATTAAAGGTTTTGTTTTTTATCGTAATAATTCTTCTTTTTGTTCCATAACTTTTTCAGGTCTTTGAACTGAGAAAACTTCTTCCCACATCTTTAGATTATGACTTCAATGTTCATGTGAGTACCTCTCTCTAGAATCATTCACGGTATTCGGGGAAATGTCTTGATTATGCCCCCATTTAAATCTCATGTCTTTTTCATTTTCTCTTTGTGCAAGATAATGGATTTTCAACCAGGGGAATTCCTGAATGTAAAAGTATGCTTTTCTCATGCTTATTCCTGTGTGTTGGGTTATCATGCTGAGAGATAATATCCTATTTTGTGCATTGACTATAGATTATTACTAGTTTGGTCCACAACTTCATTTTCTTCTTAATTTGGTTCTAAAGTATGCAATTGATATCCAATTTAGTCCTTGTGCATATTTCACATTGATTAAGAAGGATACTTCCATGTATTGATGCCTAAAATGATTACATAGTTAATGGTCAAAGGATCCAACTTTAGTTCTTATTTAGAGTTTTGCCACTTTTAGTTCCAGATTATTATGTCAGTTACACTTTTGGTACTTGACTTTTAACTTTTTTCTTTTTTAGTCCTTCATCTATTGTGCGAGAGACACTTATAGTTCTTGTGAAAGTATTATTGTATCTAGGAATATGCTTTAGGAATATGCTCTAGAATATGCTTTAGGAATATACTCTAGACATTATTATTGTATAACATCTTATATAGGAATATTCCATCTTTGTAATATATATATAGGGCCTTAACCCTCTAATGAAAAACACAGAAAATCTTTCCTCCACTTTTCAATATTATTCTAGTTTATATTTCAACATGGTATCAGAGCGGTAAAAAAATCAGAAAATCAATTAGCTGCTAATTTCCAGAAAATCAATTAGCTGCTAATTTTTCAGAAACTCAGTTAGTCTTTACAGCCCCATATTCTCTTCAGGCCAGACTGCATCAAAGCCATACCCAGGAGGTGCGCCTACCTCCGACGACCCTGTTAGTCCCTGTTTCTGTAACAGCAATGAATAATCGATCTAACAAGGAAGATTAAACGTAAAGATGAACACAGAATGAATCACCGTAAAACCTTCTTTGATAAACCGTGGAACGTACAGCAGAATGATATGCGTAAGGCTATGAATAATAAGTACGACGTTCAACCTTTTCCTAAACCTCGACTCCCTTTTTATAGGCGAGGTTTAGGTTAGGTGTGCCAGGCTTTTGGCCTGTTTAAATGGGCCTAACACTTGGCCTGATTTCTATCTAATTTATGCACTAATTAAATACAAGGATTAAATATAAAGCTAATCTATGACCAACTTGATTCACAATTAAATATCTCCAACAATCTCCCCCTTTGTGATCAAGTGCCATTCTCTTATTGCTTCTGAGATTTGAAGTAGTGCTTCCTCATACCAAGTGCATGTTCATACTGTCTCAGCACATTTCTCTTTTCGAGGCGATCGTCAATGGCCTTTAAAATTGTCTCTACAGTAGAGTGTTCCTTTTGAACATAAGACGATGCCTCTTGAAGATTTTCTTCCAGCTTTGCCTTCATCTGTAGAATCTGCTCTCTGATTATCTTCAGTGTTCCGTCGCAGTACTTCTCGATTTCACTGACTACCATCAGACGCTTTTCGTTCTTGTGGTTCAGATAGGTGACTGCTGGCGGTGTGAAGAAGATGTGGTAGGCTGGGAAATCTTCAAGTTCTGGACCATACAGTCTTGGCTTTGTCAGATTTGTCTTCTTTAGATTGCATTCAATAGCCATCTGTAGGTCATGTGAAGAGTGTACTCGGATTTGTCTAAGCATGAATCTCTTGATAGCTGCGAGGCCTTCGCTGTATACTATGCTCTGCCTGACTGGAAGGTATCTGTAGGCCATGAACATTTGGTAGATGTCATCCGGTTTCAGCATGATGAAGTCGTTCTCTTGACAAGTAAATTCGCTCCCATCGGTGCGTTGAATTCTGAACCCATTGCTGTACTAAACTGACCGTTCGAGAAAATTGATCAAAAGATTTTCAGAGGCAGAATCTCGAAAAATCAGATGTCGAGATCTGAATATCGAAATCTCAGATTTCAATAAAGGAGGCCCGGTATCGAGATTTGGGCTCGAGATTAAGGATCTCGAGATTAGGGATCTCGAGATTTCAAATTTCGAGATGCTGATCTCGAGATTTGAAATGTCGAGAAGTTAATCTCTCGAAAACTTAATCTGATAAGTCAAATGTCGAGACCAGATGTCGAATCCTTTTCTCGAAATCAAGATTTCGAAATCCTAGATGTCGAAATCCTCAATGTCGAAATCCTGCAACCTGTAAAAATCAGATATACAAAATCTGAAGGTAGTTTCCTGTAGAGTTGAATATCTAGATCTTCGTGTAAAGTTTTCAGCTCGAAAAACGTAGCAGAACCTGTGAAAAAGCAGGATGTCGACAACCCCTGCTCGAGATATCTCGAAATCTAAAATTGCGTAAAATACAATCTGAAGTATACCCTTTGATCGCTTTGAAAAGGCGATTCCAAAGGTGTAACTTTTACAATTTTTGAACAAGAAACAAAATTACAGAGCAGAAAATCGACAGAATGAACTACGTTAACAAAAACAGAGTATTCTGCAGGAGTTCTTCTGATCGTTCTCGATCGGCTCTGATACCAATTGTTAGTCCCTGTTTCTGTAACAGCAATGAATAATCGATCTAACAAGGAAGATTAAACGTAAAGATGAACACAGAATGAATCACCGTAAAACCTTCTTTGATAAACCGTGGAACGTACAGCAGAATGATATGCGTAAGGCTATGAATAATAAGTACGACGTTCAACCTTTTCCTAAACCTCGGCTCCCTTTTTATAGGCGAGGTTTAGGTTAGGTGTGCCAGGCTTTTGGCCTGTTTAAATGGGCCTAACACTTGGCCTGATTTCTATCTAATTTATGCACTAATTAAATACAAGGATTAAATATAAAGCTAATCTATGACCAACTTGATTCACAATTAAATATCTCCAACAGACCCCACAGCCGAAATCCGACGTCCAACTACACTGCGAGTGTGCTACACGTGCCACCACAAGTCCGGCGACCTCAACTCACGTGCCGGCACGTGACGTATATTCACGGCCCAGATTTCTGATCGAAAACCGCATTCCGGCTCGCCTACGTAAGACCCATCTTCTGGTGTTGCTCGTCTTTGGCCTGGTAAGGCTTCGTTCCTTACCATCGGAAAAGAGACTGCAGGGCCAGGGAACGAGCGCGCAGAAGACAACCGAGAGGACAAGCCTATTAGGCATCATGGTTGTGGATACCTATGCTTGCACTCCTACAACCTCCCGTCAGTAAGCACACGTGGATTCAAATCTGGTAACAAGTTTTGTCTCACACTTTTCTGAGTCTGTTTACTAGCGGTCAACAAGGAGAATACAGAAGTCCAATTCTATTGAACTTCCTTTCTTTTATTCTTTGCTTTACTTAAAAAAAAATTAAAAAAAAATGTCGTGTGCGGGTCAACTTAACAGAGGAGTAATATGCAATTACTGCAAGAAGTCTGGGCACTTGATCAAAGAATGTAGGAAATTGGTATTCAAGAATCAAGGAAATCAGTTTGGTCATGTTGCTTCCGCTACCAGTTCATCTGATGGATCAATTACTGTTTCTTCAAACGAGTATGTCAAATTTATTTCCTACCAAGAATTTTTGAAGCATTCATCTGCCCCTATCTCGGTAGTCGCTAATTCAGGTATTTCAAGCACATGTCTTGTTTCCTCATCCTCGAAATGGGTCATTGACTCAGGTGCCACATATCATATGACTCGTAATCCTAGTCTATTCTCATCATTTCATTCGTATTTACCTAATTCTAGTGTCACTTTAGCTGATGGATCTACCTCACCTGTTCTTGGATCTCGTACTGTTGTCCCAACTTCTACATTACCATTATCACATGTTTTGAGTCTTCCTAATTTTGCATTTAATCTGCTTTCCATTAGTAAAATCACACGAACTCTTAATTGTTCTGTAACATTTTTTCCTGGATATTGTGTGTTTCAGGATCTGTTGACAAAGCAGACTATTGGTAAGGGACATGAGTCGGCTGGCCTTTATATTTTGGATACATCAATCTCAAAAGGTATCTCTTGTCTTGGGGTTGCAAATCTATTAGAAGCTCATTACTGATTAGGACATCCATCTCTCCCACTAATGAAGCAAATTCATCCTCAGTTGAATAAGGTGTCATCTCTACAATGTGAGTCGTGTGAATTTGCAAAACATCATCGTACTAGTTTAAGTCCTCGACTTAATAAACGAGCAAACGCTCCGTTTGATCTTGTTCATACTGATGTTTGGGGGGCATGTCCTGTTGTGTCCAAATCTGGCTTCAAATATTTTGTTACATTTGTTGACGATTATTCTCGTATGACATGGTTATACTTTATGAAACGTCGATCAGAGTTATTTACTCATTTTTCTGCATTTTGTGCTGAAATTAAAACTCAATTTAATGTTCCTGTTCGTGTGTTGAGGGGAGACAATGCCCAAGAATATCTCTCGGCTCCATTTAAATCTTTTATGCTTCAAAATGGCATTATTCATCAAACTTCCTGCGTAGACACACCTCCTCAAAATGGAGTCGCTGAAAGAAAGAATCAACATCTGTTAGAAACTGCAAGGGCTCTTCTATTGTATAGCATCTTATATAGGAATATTCCATCTTTGTAATATATATATATATAGGGCCTTAACCCTCTAATGAAAAACAGAAAATCTTTCCTCCACTTTTCAATATTATTTTAGTTTATATTTCAATAGTTCTTGACTTCAAAACTCCCTACATTTAGTCCCTGAGTACTGCCAAATTGACATATTTAGTCCTTCCACTATGATTTTGCCACAATAGATGAATGACTAAAAATGTCACTATGACAATAGTTGAAGGACCAAAAGCATCACTTTTATGCAAGTCGAAGGACTAAATGTGGAAAATTTCAAAGACTGGTACCAAAAATGTTTTTCGCATAATAGTCGAAGGACTAAAAGTGGAAAAAATAAAAATAGAGTACCAAAAGTGTCATTGACGTAATAGTCGGAGGACTAAAAGTGTCAAAACCTCTTCATATTTACAAGCAAATATGTATAATGACTAAATTGGATCCATATTTGACCGCCGAGGACTAAATTGAGTCCAACAAAGAGTCAAAGACCAAAATGATAAATGATGTATAGTCAAGGGACTACAACATATACTATTTCTTATGCTAATTTGAAGAGATCATTAGTATCTTCAATGGGATCAACATGTTTTTGGCTGGTTAAATGGCAGGAGGTACATTATAATCAGCATGGATTGTTGCTTTTGGAGGGGCAGGGTATATACCGATTAGGTGATAGCTGGTAAGCATTATTATTTTAGATACAAATACTCCATTGGGTTGATGAGTTATGGATCTATTTAGTGTACAACTACTACTGGTCATTTGGTGGACAGGAAATGACTTTCACCCTTATATGTAGTTTTTTTGTCTAGCAAACATTCTGAACCAGTTTGGGTAAGAGTTGGACTGTGATAGGACTCCAAATACTTTGGTTATTAATCCTAATAGGGATTTTTCTAAAGTGTACACTAGGAGGGGTAGAATAACTAATTAGTTAGCTTAGGCGGAAAGTTAGTTGGGGAGAGGGAATAAAAGGATCAGAATAGGAGAGAGAGGCATTCTGGTTGTTGGTTAGAACTTGGAGAGCAAGACACTCTCGAATCACCTATTATGTCTTCTTCCTTTCTATTTTTTTCCTGATCATATACTGAGATCCGAGAGCTTACATTTGCTGCTTTGATCCATTTTTCTTCCATAATTTTGACATCCACACTGTTACCTATCATTTGGTATCATAGCATCGTTGATTGCTGGAGCGGTGAATGATTTTCACACGTTCACAAATGGAAAATCGGATGGAAATGTCGAACAAAATATGGCTGAGATGAGAACTGTAGTGGATGAGATGTGCAACTTATTGCTTCAACAAGGTCACCAGTGATCTAGAGGACGATCTAGGACATCTAGACATTGATGCCATTCTGAAAGCCAGGGCTCATCACGATCGCGAGCAGAGAGTGTGCAGGCTTCATCCTTCCGTCAAGGAGTCTATGATGAACATGTGGTATGCTAGAACCGGAAAAAGGTGAATTTACTATTGCTCAATGGAGATGAGGCTTATGGCTGTATCATTTGAGTGGAGAGGGTTTTCAGACTCAATCAGATAACGGATGAGGAGAAGGTTGAGATGGTGGTAATTTCTATGCAGGATAAGGCCCTCAAAAGACCCCTCCAATCGATTCAAGAATGCAAAATTAAACGACTACTAATCACAACTGGGTGTCATTTGAAAGAGAGCAGGGAGAGCAAGGGGCGGGAACGGGCTTGGGCCCACTTCTGTGGGCTGGCTGTGGGCTAGGATTATAGTTTTATTTATTATTATAAAGGTTATGTTATGTTTGCTAGTTTGGGCCTATTATTAGTAGAGTAGTTAGTAGAGTTAATTTGGGCCTAATTAGGGCTTAATTAATTTGGGCTTGATTAGGGTTTTTGCTGAGTCTCTTACTAGAAGGCTATTTATACCCCTTGCCAGGGTTCATTCTTGGTTATCTTGGAATAAAGTTGAATTTCAGTCTTTTGGCTCTGGGTAACGGTTTTTATGGTTGATTATCTGGGCAACGGTTTACCTCGTTGATTTTTAGTTTTCTGCTCTCAACATCATTCAAGGAGGCATTGATCAAAAGGTTTCAACCTGAGCTGGTTCAGAATACTTTTGGTCCAATGCTTAGTGTGAAACAAACAGGTACTGTCATGGAGTACAGGGAACAGGTTGAGTTAGTGGTAGCCCCCAGGAGACATACATATGGTAAAATGCTAAAGGGCATTTTCCTGAATGGACTCAAGGAGGTCTGAGCCGAGCATAAGCTGTACCATTCCCACAATTTGACTGATCTCATGGGCAGAGCTGTGTTAGTGGAACATGAGAATTCTGCCTTGAGGATTGAGAGAAACAGAGAAGAAGATAAAAGAATCTGGAAGGAAAATGAGGGAATATGCCCAAGTTTTATTCCTGGACAGATGTGAACAAAGAAAGATCTAATTATATTAAGACATCCTCAGGAGAAGGGTGCAGCAGATCCTAAAGCAGAAGAAACTCAAGGACAAAAGATGTTTTGGAGGGGAGGCCAGAGGAAGACTCAATCTGAAATTCTGAATTGCAAGATAGGAGCAGAAAGGGGCTGTGTTTCAAATGTGGAGATAAATGGAACAAAGAGCACATTTGTAAGATGAAACATTATCAGTTTGTCTTACTGGAATCCTTGGATGGAGAAGAAGAAGAAGAGAAGGTATCACAATCTGAGGCAGAAAGGGAAGTTAGCCAACTGCTATTATTCATCTCGAGTAAAGAGGATCTTACAACACCTAACACTTTCAAAATGAGGGGACAGTTGAAAGATCAGGAGAAAAGCAGACCAGTTATAATCCTGATTGATTCTGGGGCCACCAATAACTTTGTACCCCAAAAATTTATAGAAGAACTGAATTTGTCTTATAGAAGGATAAAAGGATTCCAGGTGGAGATGGGAAATGGAGACATCATAACCAACAATGGAATAAGTTAGTGAATACAGATATGGGTATGGAATGATGATTACCAAGGATTTCTACTTGTCGGAGTTAGGGGAATCTGATCTGGTATTGGTGTGGAATGGTAGGCCAGCCTAGGAAATGTTGAAGTCAATTTCAGCAGGTTGACATTTAAGTGGTGGGAAGGGGAGCTGGAGAGGAAAGTACTGGGAGATCCTAATCTAAGCAGTACCAAAGCTTCATGGAAAACTCTGGTGAAGGACCTGCAAAAACAAGAAGAAGGTTATTACTTATATTGGCAAGAGTACACAGCAAACCTGGAAAAGGATAACCAACCAGATCAGAAGTGGGAGGAGATCCTTACTGAATTCCCCTCAGTATTTCAGACACCCCAAGGACTACCTCCTAGCAGAGAGTGTGATTATGCCATCAACATCAAGGAAGGCGCCTCTATTCCCAACATAAGGCCTTAATACCCTCAATACCAAAAGAATGAAATTGAGAGGTTAATAAAGGATTTACTGGGTACAGGAATCATTAGACCTAGCAACAGCCCTTATAATAGTCTAGTTATCCTAGTTAAGAAGGATGGATGTTGGAGATTCTGTGGAGATTATAGAGCACTAAATAAGATTACTATCCCTAAAAGTTCCCCATACCTGTGATTGAAGAGCTGTTGGATGAATTGGGAAAGGCTTAGGTTTTTTCTAAATTGGATCTCAAATCAGGATATCATCAAATAAGAATGAAGAATCAGATATTCACAAGACTGCTTTCAGAACCCATGAGAAACACTATCAATATGTTGTGATACCTTTTGGATTCGCAAATGCCCCTTCTACATTCCAGGCACTTGTGAATCAGGTTCTGAAGCCTTACCACATAAAATTTATGTTAGTTTTTTTAATGACACTCAGATTTATAGTAAAAATTGAGAAGATCACTGTGAACATCTAAGGAAGGTGTTACAGATTCTATAGGAGAACCAATTAGTAGTTAACGTGAAAAAGTGTAGCTTTGGGCAAACACAACTGGCTTACTTGGGACACCTAATATCATAGCAAGGGGTGGCAGCTGCCCCAAGTAAGGTACAAGATATGTTCGATTGATCATTGCTTCAAAGTTTGTAAAGTTTGAGAAGATTTCTGGGGTTAATTGGTTACTACAGAAGATTTGTCAAAGGGTATAGCAAAACATCTAGCCCCCTAACAAATCTGATAAAAAAGGAAGGGTTCAAATGGAATTAAGAGTCCCAGGAAGCCTTTGAGCAGCTAAAACAGGCCATGACTACACTTCCAGTATTGGCAGCCCCAGATTTTGACAAGTTGTTTGTGGTAGAGACGGATGCATCAAGGAAGGGAATTGGAGCTGTGTTAATGCAAGAAGGGAGACCTGTGGCTTACATGAGCAAAGTTCTACGTGAAAGTAACTAGAAGAAATCAGTGTATTAGAGGGAATTGTTGGCAATGGTACTTGCAGTTTAGAAATGGAGACCTTATTTATTGGGGAGATGTTATGAAATGCACACAGATCAGAAGAGCCTCAGTTTTCTCACTGAACAGAGAATAATGGGAGAAGATCAGCAGAAGTGGGTTACTAAGTTGATGAAATATAATTTCATAATAAATTATAGATCTGGCCTTGAAAACAAAGCTGGAGATGCCTTGTCCAGGAAAGGGGGCCTATATTCTCTGCAAGGAATGGAAAGGGTTGGAGGAAGAACTATTGAAGAATGACAGATGCAAACACTTGATACTAGACGTACTAGCTCAGCCTGATTCTCATCCAGGATTTACACTCAGAAAGGGGCTATTATACTATAGGGGCAGATTGGTGATACCTAAGAACCCTGCCAGAATTACTTCCATTCTGCAGGAGTTCCATGATTCTGCCATGGGGGGACACTCAGGTAATCTCCGAACCTTGAAAAGAATAGCTAGTGTAGTATTGTATTGGGAAGGGATGAGAAGTGAAATACAGAATTTTGTAAGAAAACGTGAAGTTTGTCAGAGAAAGGGGGCCTATATTCTCTGCAAGGAATGGAAAGGGTTGGAGGAAGAACTATTGAAGAATGACAGATGCAAATACTTGATACTAGACGTACTAGCTCAGCCTGATTCTCATCCAGGCTTTACACTCAGAAAGGGGCTACTATACTATAGGGGCAGATTGGTGATACCTAAGAACCCTGCCAGAATTACTTCCATTCTGCAGGAGTTCCATGATTCTGCCATGGGGGGACACTCAGGTAATCTCCGAACCTTGAAAAGAATAGCTAGTGTAGTATTGTATTGGGAAGGGATGAGAAGTGAAATACATAATTTTGTAAGAAAACGTGAAGTTTGTCAGAGAAACAAGTATCAGGCTTTGAAACCTTCAGGATTCCTCCAACCTCTTCCCATTCCTACCCAAATATGGACAGACATAAGCATGGATTTTGTGGGTGGGCTGCCCGGGGCAATGGGCAAAAACACCATATTAGTGGTAGCGGATAGTCACCAAGTTTGCTCATTTCAATGCCCTATCTCATCCATACACAACTAAAGGTGTTGCAGATTTTTTATACAAGACATGGTCAGATTACATGGATTTCCTAAATCCATAGTATCGGACAGAGACAACATTTTTCTCGCTACATTCTCCTCTGAGTTATTTCGATTAGCTGAGACTAAACTCAGGTGTAGCACAACTTATCACCCCAAAATGATGGGCAGAATGGCATGCTGAATATGTGTGCGGAAATTTAATTGAGATGTACTACTGGGAGCAAAC